GCCCCACCACACACATGTAGTGCGACGCGACCCGTGGGCGTAAGGGAGCCCTGCATGTGCGCAGCACGTGACCCGGAGGCCCGGGCGGCCCACACGGGCGTGGGGCTGGCCGGAACCCTTAGGAAGGCCCCCTAGGGGGAAAAGAGCCTCGGGCGCCTGGCCTCGCGGGGGCAAGCCTCACCACACACGTGGTGTGACGCCACCCGTGGGCGTAGTGGAGCCCTATAAGTGGCCCGGAGGCCACATGGCCCACATGGCCCGGAGGCCTGGACGCGAAGCTAGCTAGGGGCGGCACGTGCCCGCACGGGCACACACCTCAAGGGACATGGCGCTGGACACACGCCGGAGCACTAGGGACGCCCCTAACTAGGGGATGTGAGAACACAGACAGAACTGTACCTTAGGGCATCTGGAGGTGAGCAGGGAGCCTCTGCCGTTTCACGCTGAGATGTTGAGGGGCCCACGTCTATCACGTCGGACGAGCTGAGGTCCGGGACCGTAGGCGTTGGCGTAAGATCCATGGCGTTGTGGAACACCAAGCTAATCGGACTAAGTCTGATGGTACTGGCGAGCAGGTCCACGTGGGTGTCGTGACGGCGGCAGAGCGCGGAGGTTGCAGTAGGTCAGAGGTCGTGACCTTGTTGTTGTTGTTATAGATTCAGCTACTCGGAACAAGTTCCTAGTAGCACGGGCTATTGTGAGACCGTAACTTACCTGGCATAGGAGCGGGGCAAGTAGCACGGGCTATGGCGAGCCCGTCTAGTGGACTTCTTCTTCTTCTTGTTGATAGTAGGTGCAGTTTGCATGAAGGGTTTGTCCTCCCGATGACTGCACCAGTACTGATGTTGTTGGACGCGTTTATGTTGAAGATGATCGGAGCTACCAAGGTGCTTGTTGCTTTGTGCTGTAGATAGAGGAACGGTCATTAAAACAGAGGTGTGTATTAGAGGGAGACTTGCCGCACCGTAGGGCGGTGTGTTGTGTTTATGGCGTCAGCTGATCCTTGGTGTTGCGACGAGGCAGTTGTTTTCTGTGTTTAGCTGTTGGTGGCGCCAGGTATAAATGTGGCGCGGGTCAGATGTGACCCAATTTGTTGGTCGATTGGAGATATTTAGCCAGTGCTTTGACTATTTGGTATTTTTCTTGTGACGAGTGGTCACCGCCTCCTAATATATGCTCGATGGTGAAGGGTATTTTAAGTGCGATAAAGACTTGTTTGAAATTTACTCTGGCACTATAATGTCGGAAGCAGTGCAGGAGATAGTGTTCGACTGTTTCAGGCACCTGACAGTGAGTACAGAGTTCGTTGATGTCTGTTCTGTACTTAGAGCTGTGTGCTGCTAGTTTGGTGTGTCCCAGCCTTAATCTGGTCATCGTTACATCAATTTCTCTGCTTTTATATCGGACATGTTTCCAAGTTTCCCATTTCTTTTTAATGGACCCATGGTGCAAAGGTGAGCATAACGTCTAGTGGACTTACCTGGCACAGGAGCGGTGCCGAGCACTATAGCGATCCAGATGCTGATCATGACCTGATTGATGAAGATTAAGCCACCCAAAAGGTGGCACGGACATGAATAGCCCGTAAGTGGTGGCCCTTTTGAGCCATTACCAGTATCAAGAGCTGATACTGGAGATCTGTGGAGGTGCAACTGCACCCTGCGTGACGGGAGATGTCTCCCGTGACTGTGTCCAAGATTGATTGCTGAAGATTAAGCCACCCAAAAGGTGGCACGGGCATGAATAACCCGTAAGTGGTGGCCCTTTTGAGCCAGTACCAGTATCATTAGCTGATACTGGAGATCTGTAGAGGATCGTGACCTTTTGCACAGACCATTAAGTACAGCACCTTTCAAAGCTGGAGAAATTACTGAACTGGAGAGCGTGCAGAGATCCTTTACTGCTAGAATCCACTCAGTAAAACATCTAAACTATTGGGACCGACTAAGGAGCCTAAAACTGTACTCCCTTGAGCGCAGGCGGGAGAGGTACATAATAATTTACACGTGGAAAATATTAGAGGGGCTGGTCCCAAACCTGCACACCGAAATAACATCACATGAGACCAGAAGACATGGCAGGATGTGCAGAATACCCCCGTTGAAAAACAGAGGTGCAACTGGTACTCTGAGAGAGAACTCTATCAACATCAGAGGTCCGAGACTGTTCAACACGCTTCCACTACACATAAGGGGCATAACTGGCCGACCCCTCACAGTGTTCAAGAGAGAACTGGATAAGCACCTCCAAAGGATACGTGATCAACCAGGCTGTGACTCGTACGTCAGGCTGCGAGCAGCCGCGTCCAACAGCCTGGTTGATCAGTCCGGCAACCAGGAGGCCTGGTCGACGACCGGGCCGCGGGGACGCTAAGCCCTGGAAGCACCTCAAGGTAACCTCAAGGTAAGGTAACCCCCTGATCATTGCGCGTGCAGCGCTTGCCGCACGCAAGGTGCTGCCCATATGATTTTTCTCCCCCCCCCAGAAATTTCCCTGCTTTCATGCAAGCAGCGTCTATATATATTGTGACAGGAAATGTTGATGGTCGAGCAGTCTGTAATGCCAGTCACAAAATATTAACAAAAAAAGTAAACTGCAAAATGTGTATTCACAGTGAGGTAAACTGTAGGATAAAGCAGAGGAAAAAAACATTTAAAAATACTTTACTTTGATAAAAATATGAATTTAAACAAATTACAAAAAATATCCAGGCTTGGCTTTAATACAAAATGTGCAAAACAAACAAGATGAATAATCAAATTACGTTACGTTAAGGTGCAAAATAAAATATGGTGCGGAATACTGTGAGTCAAACTAAATAGCTCTGTTACCACACCGAGATGTGTCAACAGGTCTACTCAGCAGGAGCACTCAGGAGTAATCTGAATCTCGGAGAGCTTGGTAGCCCTATATATACAGAATATCGGCCGGCCAGAGGGCCCTGATAGTCTTCTTTAACTAGGAACCGGCTCACTTGAAGTGCTTGTTTGGGAGGGCGTGGCCTCCCAGCGACCCAGGTGCGAGGTGGGTGACGGGTCCTGGTGCAGGTAGACGGGTGGTACTGTCTAGACGTCTGGAAGTAGTAGTAGTTGTTGTTGTTTTTGGCTGCAGTTCTTTATTACATAGAACCCGTTCTCGCAAATTCGTAAAGTCAATATTGACTTATTAACTACGTGCATAGGTGATATACTAAACATAATAGATACCCTTAAAAAGATTCATAGAAAACACCGACCTTACCTAACCTTGTTAGTATCTTAAGATAAGCATCTTATTGCTTCGTAATTACAATTATTACTTAACCTATACCTATTATAGGTTAGGTAATAATTGTAATTACGAAGCAACAAGATGCTTATCTTAACATACTAAGTAGGTTAGGTAAGGTTGGTGTTTTCTATGAAGCTTTTCAAGGGAAACTATTATGTTAAGTATGTCACCTATGCACATATTTAATAAGTCAATATTGACTTATTAAATTTGCGAGAACGGGTTGTACATAGACGTGAATGAGTAGAATAGGCGATAATGGAGTAGGCCGAATCTCTTCCTAGAGATTTTACCGTGACAATATGTATGTGTATGTATGAATAAGTCAATATATAATAATAATAAAATAAATAGCCTTGAACAAAACAACAAGTATGGAAGTATCAGAGTGTGTATGTATGAATGCTACACAGTATTCATCTATAGACATCCATATATTGTGAAACACATGTGAAGAACCTCTCACACACTCACAGCTCCCTGACAAGAGAGAGCAAGCTTAACTTATAGCTGCCAACACCCACACATCGTGTCAGCAAGGTGGACAGCCCGCCTGCTTTCATACCTCTCACTGTATTTCCCACTTCTAGACTTTCTTTCACCTATGCCTTTCCCTCCTCTTTACTTAAAAAAAAGGGAGGGGCCTGCACCCTGGGGGAGGGTCCAGGACCCCGGGGAGGAGCGAGGGGAGGGACCAGCACCCTGGGGAGGAGCGCGGGGAGGAGCCAGCACCCCGTGGAGGGGCAGGCAACCCGGGGAAGGGTCAGCAAACCGAGGAGGGGGCAGCACCCCGGGAAGGGAGCACAGGGAGGGGCCAGAACCCTGGGGAGGGGCCAACACTCCGGGGAGGGAGCGCGGGGAGGGGCCAGCACCTAGGGGAGGGGCCAGCACCCCGGGGAGGGAGCGCGGGGAGGGGCCAGCACCCCGGGGAGGGAGCGCAGGGAGGGGCCAGCACCCCGGGGGGGGGGGAGGGGCCAACACCCTGGGGAGGGGCCAGCACCGAGGAGAGGAGCCAGCACCCCGGGGAGGGGCCAGTACCCCGGGGAGGGGGCCAGCACCCCGGGGAGGGGGCCAGCACCCCGGGGAGGGGCAAGCACCCCGGGGAGGGGCCAGCACCCCGGGGAGTGGCCAACACCCCGGGGAAGGGCCAGCACCCCGGGGAGGGGCCAACACCCCGGGGAGGGGCCAGCACCCCGGGGAGTGGCCAACACCCCGGGGAAGGGCCAGCACCCCGGGGAGGGGCCAGCACCCCGGGGAGGGGTCCCATCACCCCGGGGAGGTGCCAGCACCCCAGGGAGGGGCCAGCACCCCGGGGATAGGGCCAGCACCCCGGGGAGGGGTCCCATCACCCCGGGGAGGGGGCCAGCACCCCGGGGAGGGGTCCCATCACCCCGGGGAGGGGTCCCATCACCCCGGGGAGGGAGCACGGGGAGGGGCCCCAACACCCCGGGGAGGGGCCCCAGCACCCCGGGGAGGGGCTAGCACCCCGGGGAGGGGCCCCAACACCCCGCGGAGGGGCCCCAACACCCCGGGGAGGGGCCATCACCCCGGGGAGGGGCCAGCACCCCGGGGAGGGGCCCCAGCACCCCGGGGAGGGGCCCCAGCACCCCGGGGAGGGGCCCCAACACCCCGGGGAGGGGCCCCAGCACCCCGGGGAGGGGCCCCAACACCCCGGGGAGGGGCCCCAACACCCCGGGGAGGGGCCCCAACACCCCGGGGAGGGGCCATCACCCCGGGAAGGGGCCAGCACCCCGGGGAGGGGCCGGCGACGGAGCGCGGGCCGGGAGTGTAAACATGGCAGTGCCGAGTCAGCTGGTGCGGGACAAGTTCCCCAACATAGACGAGGAAATCTTCCAGTATGTCGAAGGTGAGGCTGCCCCGGGGCACGGGGTCTCCAGGGCACGGGGCACTGCCCCTCCTCCACCCCCCAGGGCCCCTCAAGACAACTCCTGGAGGGCCAGGGCCCCTGGTGTTGGGCTCCCTGTGGCCGCTCCACACGTGGGCAACACCACCTGCTGGGTATGGGGGCCCTGACCTGGGGCTCACAGGTGTGTAGTGTGTGGGGCACACATGTGTGTAGTGGGCCCTGACCTGGGGCACACAGGTATGTAGTGTGCCCTGACCTGGGGCACACAGGTGTGTAGTGGGCCCTGACCTGGGGCTCACAGGTGTGTAGTGTGCCCTGACCTGGGGCACACATGTGTGTAGTGGGCCCTGACCTGGGGCACACAGGTGTGTAGTGTGCCCTGACCTGGGGCACACAGGTGTGTAGTGGGCCCTGACCTGGGGCTCACAGGTGTAGTGTGCCCTGACCTGGGGCTCACAGGTGTGTAGTGGGCCCTGACCTGGGGCACACAGGTGTGTAGTGGGCCCTGACCTGGGGCACACAGGTGTGTAGTGGGCCCTGACCTGGGGCACACAGGTGTGTAGTGGGCCCTGACCTGGGGCACACAGGTGTGTAGTGGGCCCTGACCTGGGGCACACAGGTGTGTAGTGGGCCCTGACCTGGGGCACACAGGTGTGTAGTGGGCCCTGACCTGGGGCACACAGGTGTGTAGTGGGCCCTGACCTGGGGCACACAGGTGTGTAGTGGGCCCTGACCTGGGGCACAGGTGTGTAGTGGGCCCTGACCTGGGGTTCACAGGTGTGTAGTGGGCCCTGACCTGGGGCACACAGGTGTGTAGTGGGCCCTGACCTGGGGCACACAGGTGTGTAGTGGGCCCTGACCTGGGGTACACAGGTGTGTAGTGGGCCCTGACCTGGGGTACACAGGTGTGTAGTGGGCCCTGACCTGGGGCACACAGGTGTGTAGTGTGCCCTGACCTGGGGCACACAGGTGTGTAGTGGGCCCTGACCTGGGACACACAGGTGTGTAGTGGGCCCTGACCTGGGGCACACAGGTGTGTAGTGGGCCCTGACCTGGGGCACACAGGTGTGTAGTGGGCCCTGACCTGGGACACACAGGTGTGGGCCCTGACCTGGGGCACAGGTGTGTAGTGGGCCCTGACCTGGGGCACACAGGTGTGTAGTGGGCCCTGACCTGGGGCACACAGGTGTGTAGTGGGCCCTGGCCTGGGGCACACAGGTGTGTAGTGGGCCCTGACCTGGGGCACACAGGTGTGTAGTGTGCCCTGATCTGGGGCACACAGGTGTGTAGTGGGCCCTGATCTGGGGCACACAGGTGTGTAGTGGGCCCTGACCTGGGGCTCACAGGTGTGTAGTGTGCCCTGACCTGGGGCTCACAGGTGTGTAGTGTGCCCTGACCTGGGGCACACATCTCTTAATTCAGAAATTCCCTTAAAATGTGTTCTATAGATGTCGTGACGGAGAACGGGTCAACTCGTGCACAATACAGTGATTGAGCTCTATACAGTCATGGGTCCGCAGGTACATCACCTAGAGCCACTAAGATGCAGACCGTTAGGCTATGATGTGCATTATTAACTTGGGTTGGGTTAGGTTAAGTTACGTTAGGTTATAGTAGATTTTACCAGTTTGGTTTACCAGTCTCCGTGGTGTAGTGGTAAGACACTCGCCTGGCGTTCCGCGAGCGCTATGTCATGGGTTCGTATCCTGGCCGGGGAGGATTTACTGGGCGCAAATCCTTAACTGTAGCCTCTGTTTAACGCAACAGTAAAATGTGTACTTGGTTGTAACAACGATTCTTCGAGGCGGGGATCGTATTCCAGGGACCTGCCCGAAACGCTACGCGTACTAGTGTCTCTACAAGAATGTAACAACTCTTGTATATATCTAAAAAAAATTAGATTTGATTAGGTTAGGTTAGGTTAATTTGGGTTGGGTTAGCTTAGCTTAGGTTGGGTTAGGTTAGATTAGGTAGGTTTTAAAATCTTTTGGTGAAGTGTTCTTTATATGAATTGACTTGTATGTGTCTTGCTGTCCAGACAGTGACACCTCGGAGGGGAGGGGGGGCTAGGCCCATGGGGGACGTTGTTTCACATCCGATCACTTCAATATTTTGGTCAATATCTCAATAAATATTGCATTTACAGACATGATAATAGTGTCATTTAATAATAAAAAAAAAGTCCCCCTGTTACTATACTTGGAAACTTTTTTTGGTGTTTCTGTAAAGATATTTCTGTATTTGTATTTTTAAAATCGAATTTGAGCACCATTAATTGATATTAGTTGGCCAGACACCATTTTACAACATAGTGAGTGAGAAAATGTGAGTATACTTAATTGTGTTAAGTATATGACAGTCTGTGTTGTTCACTGCCTCGATCACCAATGTACCGGAGCTCAAACAGTGACCACATTCAAACAAAACAGTGAAGGCAGCCTAACCTAGGCTTAATATAGGCCTTATAGTCATGTTAGGCCTAAGATGAGAGATTTGGTTCTTGCCTTTGTTTTATATATTTTGTTTTTATAATCAATATTTTCAGGTGCAATAAATTCTTTGAAAGATTAAAATTCAGTGTTGCTATGACTACAGATTGTGTTGAGGGGTGTAGGGTTGGGTTTATGCAGTGGTGCCATGACTACAGATTATAATAATAATAATAATATAATAATATTTTATTTAGGAAAAGTACATACATAGATGCAGAGTTACAAACATTCTGATTGATTTATAGATAGAGGTAGTACATACAATACCTAAATCCACTAGTACGAATAGCGTTTCGGGCAAGGTGTGGGAAAAAAACACTTAGACTTAAACTTAAAAGTAATTGAGCCTAAAGTATAAATTGCGTTAAAAGAAAAAAATAAAAGATAAAAAAGGGGGGATCATTGTAGAAAATAGCCAATATACAAGTTGGTCAACAAACAGCATTGTTTAAAAAAAAAAGTAGGACATGGGTTGACATTTAGGGGTAAGGGACATTTAGGGGTAAGGTATGTTACATGGAGTTAATTAGGTAGTACTTAGTTTTCATCTTAAACTGGTTGAGAGAGGTACAGCCTTTGACAAAATTGGGAAGGTCATTCCACATTCTGGGTCCCTTGATTTGTAGAGCATTTCTAGTTTGATTAAGTTGTACTCTTGGAATATCAAATAAGTATTTGTTTCTGGTGTGGTGCTCATGGGTTCCGTTACAATCTTCTAAGAAGCTTTTAAGGTCAGGATTGACGTTACAATTCAGAGTTTTAAATATATAGAGTACACATGAGAGGATGTGCAGTGACTTAATATCTAACATATTCAGAGATTGGAGTAAGGATACCGAGTGATGTCTGGGGCCAGAGTTGGATATTATTCTAATAGCAGCTTTGTGTTGGGTAATTAGAGGACGTAAATGATTTTGGGTAGTAGAGCCCCAAGCACAAATACCATAGTTGAGATAAGGATAGATGAGAGAGTAATAGAGAGTCACCAGGGCAGGGCGAGGTACATAATATCTGATCTTGGAAAGAATGCCAACAGTTTTCAAACCTTTTTTTGCTATATTTAGAATGTGTCCCTGGAAATTTAGCTTGTTATCGATGAGGATACCAAGGAATTTACCATCAACTTTACTACTGATTTGTATATTGTTTATTCTTAGATTAATTTCATTTGAGGATTTATTACCAAACAAAATATAGAAAGTTTTGTCAATATTGTGGGTGAGTTTGTTGGCAGTTAGCTAAAGATGGACTTTATTTAGTTCAGTATTTACAGTGACATTTAGAGCAAGAGGGTCAGGACTGGAGAAAATGAAAGTTGTGTAATCAGCAAATAGAATTGGTTTGAAGTGTTGAGAGGCATTTGGAAGGTCATTAATGTAGATGAGAAAGAGGAGAGGGTCAAGTATGCTGCCATGTAGAACACCAATGTTTATGGGTAGGGTGGGAGAAGTGGAATTATTCACAGAAACATACTGGAGCCTGTCAGTAAGATAAGATTTGAGGTATTGCAGGGAGTGTCCTCTAACTCCATAATGATGTAATTTAAGAAGAAGGTTTTGATGGTTGACAGTGTCAAAAGCTTTACGCAGGTCCACAAATAACCCAACAGGGAACTCATTTTTATCAAGAGCTGTATGTATCAAGTTAATCATACTAATAAGTGCATCGTTAGTGCTTTTATTGGGTCTGAAACTATATTGGCAAGAGCTAAGTATATTGAGTTTGGCTAGATATGAGTAAAGCTGCTTGTAGATTAGCTTTTCAAATTTTTTTGACGAGGTTGGCAGAATTGGGATAGGTCTGTAATTGTTGACATCAGTGAGATCACCACATTTGTGGACAGGGGTCACTCTCGCTTTTTTTAGACTATTCGGAAAGGTTTGGAGTTCAAGTGATTTGTTGAAGAGCAATGCAATGGCAGGAGCTAGAAATCTGAAGGTATTTTTGTAAATTAGAGATGGTATCTCATCAAGGGCACTTGACTTAGTTTTAAGGGAAAGGATTACCTCATTAACATTAGAGGAATAAGCGGGAGCTAGGTACAGAGACCCTGGACAGTTACCTGTGAGGTAGTCTTTAAATTAATATTAGTGAGTGAGGATGGAATATCATGAGCAAGGAATGTACCAATGGATGAAAAGAACCAATTGAATTCAATAGCAGTGTCTGAGGCCAAAAGCACACCATCATCACTGGATAGGAGAATTGGTTTTTTATTCAAAATCTTTTTTGAACCTAATATTTGGGAGATAGTGCTCCATGTTTTCTTAATGTTGCCCTTAATTTGGGTAAATTTATTTTTGTAGTATTTTATTTTGGCTCTTCTAATTATTTTAGACAACATGGATGAGTAAATCTTTGAAAATTCTTTGGAGACGACTCCTAACCTATACTTCTTTTCAAGGTCATGTTTTTTATTAATAGATTTAAGTATACCCTTTGTAAGCCATGGAGTGTTTAACCTTTTATTTGTAACTTGTTTCGTTAGCATTTGACAGTGGGAGTTAT